TATCATTATCATCATTATCATCATTATCATCATTATCATCATTATCATCATTATCATCATTATTATCATTATTATTATTATTAATATTATTATTATTATTATTATTATTATTATTATTATTATTATTATTATTAGGTACCTGTTACAAGACAGTGAATGTTTTACAATTCAGTGCTAAACTGAGGTATTAAGTAATAGTTTTTTAAAAATTCCTTAAAATACAATTATACAAACCTAAAAGATCAAAAAAAACATTCGACATTTTAAATAATTATACCTACTTAGGTAAGCACACCTAATAAAGACAAAAATTCACTGACCTTATTCCCAACCATTAAATGAATTAGCTACTTTAGGTTAAGTTATTATGTGGAGTTCAAAATCAATTTTACAACAACTGTACTTGTATCTTATAACTGCAATATCGTCTACAACGTGAGAGAGAAAAGAAAAATCAGAAGGGATGAAAAAGTCTCTATAAAAACAGTGGAAAACCTCAAAACAAAGGCTGGCATTCTAAAGGATCTCGTTTTGTTTGAAAAACAAAACAAAAGTTTTAACCAAAGGCATCACCCGCTTGAAGAAATCGCAAATTCCATGATGTACTTACGGCCTCCAGATCCGGGATACATATTTTTGTTTTAAAATTAGTCACACAAGCACACACAGCACACCACTATTATATTGAAATAAATTGTCTATCTAGTTACAAAAGACGTCAGCCATTTGCAATAGTGACGTCACAATGCTTCTGGGACATACGGCTTGCGACGGGTTGGCAAACGACGCGACGTACTACTCTTTCTCTTTCTTCAGCGCAATGGAATTGCGTGGCAGACGAAAACGAACAGACACATGTTCAGGGACGGAACGCGTGGGGGTGTCCAAAGGGCGCCACACACGGCCCGAAAATCCTCTGAGCAAAAACTGTGCTGTGCTGCTATTTTGGCCCATGTCGGTGTTATTTATTGGCGAGATTTTATTAAAAGAAGTCCGTAAGAAAAAACGTGACAAACAAATATGGACAAAAGAATGGCTACAGAAAAGAAGCAGTTTTCCCACATAAACTTACTTTTAGAGTTAATGGTTGTGGCACAATTATTTGCGTATGGATGAAGCAACTTATTTAAACGTTTCATCACTTACTCATATGCGAATAACTACCTCAACTCACGAGACAGGCTTACGGGGGCATTATGATTCCTGGCAACTAGTAGAAGCTATGAAGATATCAAGTTGACAACTTTAAAATAACCACAGGTCTTCGGCCGGATCATCCCGAAAGGTGTGAATCTAAATAGTGATTCTTTTTGCATGTACTAAGCTCAATTGTTTTTAATTTTTCAATTAGGCAGTAGGCGTAGGCAGTCTCTTTTTTTACTCTATCATGGTAATTTCTATTATTAATATGCCCCAGATAAGATTCAGAACCGTACATTTTCAAAAAATCTTCCAAAAAAAATGCTACTCTCCGAACGACCGTATGGTACGGGACTGTGCATAATTTCATAACCTCTTTTCCATTCTTATCAGATCACGCTGCCTGAATAGTTCAGCAAATTTGAGCACTTTTCTACCACCCACGTTCCGGAAATCCCGAAGCCCAAGACTGCACAGTTTTTCCTCAGGGGATTTCCGGAATGTGAATGGGGCCCTTAAGAAAAATATTAAGAAAAAACATTTTCTCAAGCACAATAATCAAGGTGGTAGATTAAATGTATTTAGAAACAAAAGAAACATATCAGTTTAAGAAATATGTATTGGTAAAACGATAATATAAAAAGAAGAAAGAAGAGCAGGAACTTTTTCGAGTTAATTTGATAGAATTTTTTGTTTTCAATTACCTGAATTAACTTAAAATACTAAAACACAACTTCGGTTACCTCAAAATGACAGTTGACGTCAAGCTGTTTCAATAATTGTATAGGTATGTCTTTATAGTTTTAAGTGATGTCAAAAACTGTATTTAATTAGTGGAAATCACAGCTAATCTCTGCTATTTTGAATGCTGAATAATCGATTAGGTGAGATTAACTGAAACCTCAAAGAAATAAAACTCGACATAAGTAAAAACACCAACTTTGATTTTTTTTTAACTCTTCAACCAAAGTAGACATTAAGGCGGCAATACGCAATTTAAAGTTATTTGGGGATTAATATTTCAATACTTTGTACAATGAATCTACAAAAGGTACCTATATCTAGGCACATTATTTGTTTAATACCATCAGGAGTAGCCGCTGAAACGCAGGCAAATAATATGATTTCGTATTTTAAAAACGAATCTAATTTGTTGTGGTGAAAATCACATATAATAGCTATTTATGATATACGTGTTAAAAGTAATATTTTATTTTGTGAGTGAAGATGATTAAAAAACGAGCGTAGCGAGTTTTTTAACTTCACGAACTAGTGTTAAAAGTGACTTACTTTTAACACGCGTGTCAAAAATGACATTTTTAACATCAAAAATGACAATTAAAAAGCCCACTTTTAAGTTTTGTAGAAAAAAGTTATTTATGCCATTTTTTTAGCTAACAATAAGTTTTGGTTTGATAAAATTTTATTAACGATGTTTGATAATTTTTTTTAAATTTTCGGAATACCATTTCGGCGAAAAAATAACAATGGGCATATTTACGAACTCGTAGAATAGCCCTGAACCCCAGAAAAATACATCTTTTATACTTAACTTTTTTTAATTTACAAAAATGCCCCAAAAATTATTGTTAAACGAAAAAATATTAATTAAAATATCGATTTCGGAATTATTTTACTATTATTAAATAAATAAATGAAGATAAAGTAAACTTGTTTTTTCAATATTTTTTTTAGCTATTTAATAACGCTTTCAAGGAATTAATATGCACTTTTTGGGGTTATCCGAATATTTCTACTTGCACCATTGGCATTCGTGCGAAAATGCCATAATCTTTTGTAAAAAAAAAGATAAGCCACATCTTTTTCCCGTTTAATTTTTTTTTAAATATGCCAACAATTCTGAATTAATGAATTAGATTTGCGGACAGATTTGATTTATTTTATTTGTTTAATTTCTAATATAGAATTATTCAATAAAGTTATGTAATAATAAATAATGGTTGACAACAATAATGCCACTATTATAAAAACAGGACGAAATAAATATGAATATAAGTAGGTATAGATAGGTACTAACTAGGTACTAACCATTTGGGTTCTGCTGCATACTCTGATGGGAAGGATGGGACGCCAAATGTGTCGCTTGAGATCTATGTCCGATTAAACTGAGCGTCGCAATATCTGGAAGCAGCACCGAAGAGATTCCTGTCTGCATCGTCAGCTCAGTCTCGGCAGACATGATTTATACCTCTGGAAAAAATAAAGTTACTAAATGTATGACTACATTTTAATAAATTACAACGTCAAATTGAAAAATTGATATTTTATAACCGTCAATTTTCTACCCGGATGTAAAAGATATTTTGCATAAGACTTGTTTGTATGTTTTAGGTACCTATAACAAGAGATGAAAATTTTAGCGGCGAGTTTACGAAATGATGAGTTTTCATCTCGGTTACCAAATACTATATATTTTTTTCTTGGAATATGACATTAGATTTGTGGAGTGAAACCTTATCCATTTTGTTTCCTTTTTTAATGTTGAACTGAAAAATTAGGTAGGTACCTACGTAATTGATAAGAATAAGGTTTTTAAAACGTAAATTTAGGTGGTTCATTGTTTTAATTAAGAATATCATAATTTATCATTCCCATTTTTATCACTAGAGAAGAAACATAACATTTCCTAAAGGCTAGTTAGGACCATGCGAAATTCATAGTTTTACAAAAGTATTTATTTGTGTTCCTTCCCGCCAGTCAGGAATGAATGAATGTTTTATAGGAGTGAGTTGCATTTCGGTATTATAGGTATCTTTAAATTAAAGTCATAATAGGTACATCAAGCGCGATAGAGGTACCTAGGTGTGGCCTGTAGCTACCTTTAGATCGGCCCTGTTTGTAAATAATTTAGGTAGATACCTATATGTGAAGTAGGTAATTAAATAGATATGAAATATTGCTCCTGAATGAATCAACTTGAATGAATGAATGGACTTTATACCTATAATACAAATTTTTGTAATTCCAAGAAGAGTAGGTACTAGCCGATATAATACCTACCTCTTATTTACACGTCACAACTTTTAAACATTATTGTCAAAATTGTTACGTAGTACCTAAGTATCCCTTAGAAATGTGTTAATAACTTTTTATAAGTTTTTAATGATTAGTAGGTACATGAACCATATTTTTCATCGCATATATGAAAAAGAATACCTACGCACAATCTAATATATGTTCTCGTTAATGCAGGTAACAAAAAAATTTATTTAAAACCCACGTCATGTGTGTTTTAAACAGGTAAATAAGTGTATTAACTAAATGCTTACATTTAATGAATTAAGTACCTCCTAGTAGGTACCTACGTCTGCAATATTTGTTATCAGCTGTACCTTTAAAGGATATGTAAATGCGGAACGAGAACCGCAAATAAATATGCCTACTGTAAAGAGGATACATGTATTTTTAGGAAAATTATCGACAAATTTAAAACGATTACAAGTATTAACTGAATGAAAATATAAAATAAGCCAAGTGAGATAATAATAAATAGATTCACTGTTACGCACATTATCATAATTCGCAGATAGGTATGTAATCACAATCACCCTAGTTGCGACGCGCGGGTAACTGTAGATATGGGTTTATCGAAAATGTCATTTATTGTGTAAAGTAAAATACATGGAACTCAAACTATTGTACACGTTTTTCTTTGGAAAGAAATAACATTTTGAAACGGTGTCCTGCCCTAGGTTAACGAAATCTTCAAAATAACAATTCAAGGCTAAGCCGGGAATTGTACACAAATTAAAATAGTACGTACTTACCTCGTTTAAAAGTGATTATCTTGATTTGATATAAGCGACAACATATTGAATTTCGTTCCAAAAGTAACACGCCTTTGCAAATGCCACTAATCATATCATAAAATTGTTTATATTTCACGAATATGATATATCTTTGTTGCGATTACACTTGTTTTGGATACCTAGATGTCTGTATTTTTGCAGATATCAGAAATGCGCATGCGCCAACTCTGTCAGTGCTTTATGTCGCGTAGGTACCTTGATTTTATTAATTTGCATCGCACATTTACACATATCGCTTTCTAGGTTCCGAAGTGTCTAATTAGCAACATAGTATTTTCAGGATTATTTTATTGGTACAGTTTTCCAAATTTAACACTCTATGTATATTCTTAACAGTAGACTATTTATACATAAAAAGTGAACTCGGGTCAAATATACAAATATACCTACTTTACTGTAGGTACACCTACTGATAATTCAAAATTATCGTTATCTCCTCCTACCCCCTTATAAGTAGATACGTAATAAATATAAACAAAGGTTAAAACTTATTTTTTTTATCTATTACCTATACCTATATACATTTATTAACGTCTATTGGATAGGTAGGTAGCTAGCTGCAAAACGTTAATAGGTATACCCGCATATATGTATATTACTAATAATTATATTTTGTCCACAGGACCTTATTTCGTATTGCCATTAAAATTTAAAATTTGTTAATTAGGACATCATTATGATGTTTAAAATAGTTACAGTCCCGCCAAAAACTCACGTAACGGCAAACTTGTCACACCATTTCTTGTGGCACGTGGTGCCACAAAGAACCAACAGCATCATAAAAACCCCTATATCAACAATTAAGATAACAATGTAGATATACCATTAGTTATTTTACGTTTCCTGGCAAATATTTTTAAATAGTCAAACGATTAGTAGCGTTCCAGTATTTCCCACATCTAAATAGCGCCCGGATCTTTTTTTAATGCCTATCGGCACGTTTGTATGCGCGTACGCAATTCCAAAATGCGGGTTAGTTTATTGATTTCGCACGTTTGGCCTTGAAATTTTGTTTGAAGACGAGCCTCCTCGCTCACCGAAAATGGCCAAAAGTTGCCCTTGCGCAATGACCTTGAAAATTCGCGACCGAGGCCCTGGACTTAAAAATCGATCGTTCACGAAATCACTTTCAATTATCGCAGACAGAATTTTTTGAGGTGGTGGAAACCGGGACGATAAGCCATGGGTTAAAAAAGTATATAAAATAAAGATGTTATAAGATGAATGCTAATCAGTATGGGTATTGGATGTTAAGTTAATTGTTATATCATATCGCCACAGGCATTATATAGGTATATTGGTTACATTACTATACAGGGTGCCGCCGAGGTATCCAAGATATCTACTAGGTACCTACCTATATGAATTCTACGATGATTCTATGAATAATTCCGAATTTCCAATGGTTCTTGAAATGTGTGGTTTGAAGTTAACCAGATCGTATGGGTAGTTGCTAGAGAGTAAAATTATATCCTAATCTGTTTTGTATAATTGGTTGAAAATACCTGTCCAATCCTCAGCAGTTTTGAAAAAAAGAAAAAGAGTTATGGGTACCTCCCACAATAAAGGAAACTGTAGTTCGAGTCAAATTTATTTATAGCTTTGTTTTACTTAACATAAGTATTTCATTATAGTTAACATTTTACATCACACTTTTGACACCATTTCTTCATAAAAATATTCATCTGGCATCAAATACTACCACTGTACATTTGTTAAGGAAAATCCGTTAGAAATAATTTCAACTAAAAAAATGTAGCATTGGTAATTATTTTCTGTACCTAGCATATATAAAATTACTACAAAATTTCACAGTTCTCAGGTTTGGTTTATGTTTTTATGTGTTTTACTATATTGTGTTTTCCTCCTTGCTTTAAAAATGGATATTAATTTATGTTTTGATAATTTACATAGCGATATGGATATGGAAAGTTCTTTACTACTCATGGTAAATACTTTGGAGGATACTGAAGACATAGGGTCTATAACGATTGTGTATATTTGAGCAAGATCATATTCGAGATCCTGGTTTTACAGAAGTGTGGTTGAATTACTATATTGATTTTGATTATATTATGATAACTTGTTCCAGTTATTTGACGTTTATCCCCACTCCGTTCCAAATACGTATTACTAGCGGCCTCAATGAACACTTTAAATGGTATTCAAGCACATTTCTTTCCGACGTCACCGCTTAACCGATAAAATTCTATCGCTTAAAAGCACTTCAATACACTTAATAAAAAATATATACTTTAATCTATGGGTATATTTAATGCACTTGGTCAGTCATTTTGTAATAATCGTCCTATTTACATTAAATTTTTGGTTGTAAAAAAAAATTACAGATTCATGTTCAGTAACTTTGAAAATACAGGGAAAGTAAATAAGTTCCATAAAATTATTTTTTATATTTTGTCTGTCATAGTCAGTCAGAAACTGCAACGAAATAAAAAGGATACATCTCTTTGTTCGTTTCTTGTACATGATACGATATCCACATTCTCTGCAACGTATAGGATCTCTGGGTCGAATTTCATTCTCATTGTGACATTCTAAAATTATAAAGTATATAATAATAATGCTGGCAGGAGTCATGATTCAAATTAGATCCCTTACAAATACATAACCTAACTTAAGAGTTAAATACTTACCCCCACAAATGTATACCATTGGAGTTTTTAAATTACTTGAATCTTTATTAGAACCTTCAGACATTTTATTTTAAATTTATTTTGTTAAATATGATTAGAAAACGTAATATCTCACACTTCGAGTTTAATAGGCTGTTAATTATTTACTTCACACTTCACTTCACAGAACATCGGAATGTGATAGGAATATCCCTACTATCTACTTCCATTCCAATCATAGATCATGATATAGTGTTCTCTGTCTTAACCTCAATACCTCCGACCTCAAATATAAACAAAAATAAATGGATAGTAAGAAGTCAATATAATTTTTTAAGTATAGACTTAATTTATATATTTCAGATCAACTTAAATTTGAGCTACTTATTTTGATCTTGACATTAGTCATTGCTAGAGTACTGTTTTTGATACATAAAATAACAACAGGGCATTCCAAATATGCAACTGGGAGAAGACAAAAAAGTTGTAAAAGCATTATTTGTATAGGTTCTGGAGGTCATACCACTGAAATGTTAAAGTTAATTGAAACATTGGATTTTATTAAATATTCCCCCCGTTACTACATTATAGCTAGTAACGATGTTACTAGTGCTCGAAAAGTGGAAGACTTAGAACATATAAAGAGAAAATATATAAGAAAGGAACCAGATTATAGAATTTATCGCATCCCAAGAAGTAGAGATGTAAAACAGTCATATATTACTTCCACCTTTACAACTTTATACTCTATTTTATATAGCATTCCCCTGGTATTACAAACTATGCCAGACTTAATTCTGTGTAATGGCCCTGGAACATGTATTCCCATTTGTGGATTAGCATTCCTTCTGAAAATAATTTATATTGCTGACACAAGGGTAGTGTTTATCGAGAGCTTTTGCCGAACAAAGACATTTTCACTTACTGGTAGAATTTTAATGTATTTTGCAGATAATTTCTTGGTTCAATGGCCCTCTTTGAAGAGAAAATTAAGAAGATCTGAGTATATTGGACAACTAATGTAAAAGCGTAGATAATATAAATTTTTTCTCAGAGGTATAACTACAGATTTTTGTTTTTCAGTAACAAAATATGTCACTAATTTGTCTTCCTTGATATTCTTAAAGTGCTATCGGAATTAAAAAATCCACATGGAAAAACTCTCTTTATTAGCATCCTCTCATACCCAAATGAAACAAAATAATAATAATAATAATAATAATAATAATAATAATAATAATATGTTTATTTCCCTTAGTGACATTATGTGTAGGTATAGAAATGGTCAAATTTTAACATATATGGATAAAAGACCTACATTTGGATTATCATGTACAAAGATTTTATTATATAATAAAAAACTATTGACGCACGTTGTTACTTGACACTAAAAGCCATACTTTGCCCTGGAAGCCAATCTACTATTCTTACTGGCTGCCCAAGCATTCTGCAACTCCTGTTCATTAGCCTTTGCTTGTTGCGCTAAGTAAGTTATATGATGTTTCTTCCTCCTAGTGGGATCCACGGGGTCTTCTATTTTTGGTTTGGATGCCATTTCAGGATCTGTCAGTGACTTTGCCATCCAAATATCCTTTTCAGGTAGTATTTCCTCTTCATTTATATCGATGAGTTTAATGTTGCCAATTGGTCTCTTATTTCTACCAACCAGTTCCTTAAAGGCTTGGTTGTCCAAACCGTTGTAAGGTTTCTCTGCTTCAGGGGCGATGTTTATTATTTCATCATGTAACCACTCGGGCTCATGTACTACAGGTTTAACTTTTGGCCGCCCGCAAATTTTTTTCCACATTTCATCGTCAAATGTTTCGGGCATTTCTATATCATCATCACTTTCTGCATCATTGTCCTGTTCTTTGTTTTGCCCCTTTTTTCGTAATATGCCCATTTGATTTGTCTCAACTTTTTTCCTTACCTTATGCGGTATAAGAGTACTACATTTAGTAGTATCTTTAATATTTTTTTTATTTACGGCTGTCGGTACAAAACTTTTAGCTGTTGTAACTGAGCCTTTTACTGGAGGAAGAAGTGATATCAAACTACTGCCTTTGACAGACTGCTTTTGCTTCTTTATTTGAGGTTCGTCATCGTTAACATCATTGAAATCAGATAAGCATGGTATAGTAATTTTTACTTTTTCTTTATCCTTACGAATCGGTTTTGATTTTGGAATAAAATCTTCTATTTGTTCTTCTGGAAAATTTTTAACAATATTTTTACTATAAGGTAAAGTTGCAAAGAGAGGTTCTGTATCTTTGTTAGAACGTTCTTCTGCAGAATCAGTTTGGGATATCGAAGCTATGGAATTGACTTTGATTTTAGCTGACAAATCTATTACTTCTTCCTTCACAACTTCATTTTCACTATCACTGTCGTAATCATATGATACTAATGCCATGTTAAATAAAAAAAATCTGTAATACATATAACTATTATTTGTATTGTCCTCTTTAGAAATAGAAAATAAAATATTCGTACCCAAATCAGTAAATATTTTTATGTATTAAAAATATGCCCCATGTATATAATAAATTGTTTATTAGGAATGCTAAAACGTTAACACAACCTTAAATATCTTCCTCTTCCTCTTTAAAATCATAGAGAAATAAATATATGTTTTGTGTATTGTGTTGTCAGGGTAGCCAGATTGGGCTACTTATCGCCAATTGGGCTATCTCAGATGACTCGGCTACTTGAAAAAAAGCAAAAATAGCCAGTCGCCAATTTGGGCTATTTCGAGTTTTTACCAGTGTCGGCAATCTGTACAAATCGAATGTTAGAATAGTATATTTATATAAATTCTTTTTTTACTCAAGATTTAAGTTTATTTTTTTTCTTTTGTACATGGAATAAAAAATAT